TTAAAAATCCAGACAACTGCAATAAATTATCGATTGTATTTTGCAGAAATTATTTGATTCGTATAATACATAACTTGTGACTTGTGTCCTTACTTTCTTCTGCTTTTTAATTGAAACCAATATATACTACAGTGCTATGATAGCTGTAGCTTGTTTTTTATTCAATAATTACCAGTCCAAATTGAATTAAATGGCTGCATGCTATCAGACAATCCATCAATTTCTTTTAAATTTCGCAGTGATTTCGAGGTGGTACGAACATGATTGTCCATTCATAAGCCAAAGAATGCTAGTTGAAATTTTAAAAGATTTTGAAATTCTTGATATTTTATTTAATTATGTGCATGGACTTATTATTATTTTATTAATGATAAGTTAATTTATTCCGAAATTGTAGACAACCTAAGAGCCACGGCGCTGTCACTGCATTTTTTGGACTAGATATTCAAATGTGAACTTAAATGTACCAAACACTTACCTTCTTATTCTATTAAAATGCTCGTATTATTTAAATTGTTCCTTCATTAATAAGTTAGACAGTATGGCAGTCAACTTATATTAAAGAAAATACATAGGCAGCCAAAATTTAAGTTTCACTGTCACAAAAATTAACTTAACATCAGAGCAGCTATGAGCTGCCTGCTTTTCTCATTACTAACTCGCCAAGACTTTCTGATCATCTTCAAGAAATGAATAGTGAAAAAAGGTTCAATTTGTCTTCCTCATATTTAACTGATATTTCAACAGTTTGAATCTTGAATTCGCCCTTTTGTGACCCGTAACTTTATCCTCCCAATATGATGTGAAGTTTGGCTAAAGCAAGCTTCACAGCGAATCCCTGTTCTAATTCAATTGCCAGCGATCTATGGGATGTTACAACTTTAAATCACAACCATCTAATTTAGTGGGTGTTTGGACATAAAAATTGTGAAATTCCGGAAAAAAGTAAAAATTTCAAGTTAAAATTGATATTTAAAAATTAGATTGTGTTTTCACATTAATACAATTTGGAACTATTTTTGGATTTTTTGTGAGTGATTTGAAGTGAAAATTTTGAAAAACAGTTTTTTGGAGTTTTTTCAAATTTCAAATTCAAGTATGAAAGAGATTTCGATAAAAAAAAAAAAAAATCTTTTTTATGGCACAAATGGGCCTTTAATTTCTCTATTCCCTATGGGGAAGAAAAAAAAACGAGTAAGCACATATCAAATGCAAGTATATAACCATTTCATATCAAATGGATTTTCCATTGACATTTTAAAGTCGCCTGAGAACCATATAAAAAAAGACTTCCTTGATGGTTATTTTGTCAAATTTCTTCTCAGTTATTTCAACGATATGATTGTACTATTGAAAAGTTTGAAAGCTTTAAAGACTTGCTATATAATCATGTCCAGAATAAATAAACACATTCCAGAAATGCGATTATTTTCAATATGCAATATGATTATCGCGTCTACAAGTTTGAAAACTTTTGGACTATTGTTAGATATGGCCTATGGGACATAAAAAAAAAGTGGCATTCTCTTTTCAGAAAGGGTGAGATCGATCTTTTACTCAGCAAAATCTGGAGAACCTATTGAGTGTTGGCCTTGTCATTTGCCTATAATGAGAAACAAATCATCACTTGAGCCGTTTCGAAATATTTTTCTTCTTTAGAACTTTTTGTTGGCACGACCAAATGTTTCCACCTTCTAAAGCTATTTACAAAGGGAATGATATCTTACAACTATTGTTTGATTTCTGTCACTGTTTTATTTTTCTGTTAGTGGGAGATTAACGATTTTTTGTACAGCCTAATCATTTTGCTTCATGTCTAATCATTTTGCTTCTGACCATATACACCTGAAAGTATTTTTCAGCTCATATAATTTCACAAAATGTCTCAAAGAAAAAAATAATATGCGTCCGTTATCTTATTACCTTGTTGGTTGCTATGGTTTGTTGCTTCCTTCTCATTTTTTTCCTGAGCCGAGGGTCTATCGAAAATAGCCTCTCTACCTTCACAAGGTAGGGATACGGTCTACGTACACATTATCCTCTCAAGATTCTACTTGTGAGATTATACTGAATTTGTTGTTGTCTCAAAGAACAAAATACCTGATATGAAACATCTGTTAGAATATTTTGGGCTTTCCATTATTTCCTTGTTACTGCCTTTTGGACTTCATTATGGTACCGCCCATTTGATGTTAGTACAACATTTTTGTTGCACTAACATCTGGTAAGCAATGTCCAAACTTTATTTGTTAACTGGACTAATTCAATCTCTCACTGGCACCTTTTTAACCAACCCAAAGTTGAGCTGTTCAATTGTTTGGGTCAAAATGATTGGATCTAGATAAGTAGAAGAGAGTTTGTTATAATCAAATTTGTCCAAGTTGAAATCACTCTTTCGTTTGTTTATTTTTCCTCATTTACTAGGTATAAAGATAAGTTGCTAAAAAATAAAGTATTGTGTAATAAACGGTAATTATATCATACATTAAAAACCATACTTGACTCCTATTTCCTACCTATCCCATTTTGTAACTCTTCAGACAATCGGACGGGGCAAGTGCACAGATAGCCATTTTTAGGGATGCTATTTAGAGATTAATCTGTACTTGTTTTTTCCTGAAATTTTAAACTAAAAATCTTAACTTCACGACACTTTTGTTCCGAAAAACTGAAATTCAGGATGCACTCCTAAATAGCAGCCTTTTAATGGCTACCTGGTGTCATTTCTACAATCGGACATGGGCCAAAACAGATAAATATCTATTGCATTACTCATTATTGGGCCTCAGTTGGGCTTCAATTTTAACGAACTTCCGGACATTTTCACATCACACTCAACTGAAAAATCAATAACTGAAAAATCAGTTAGCTTCTGTTCTGCTCCACAAACTGGAACGATGGCATCCAAGTCACCACCGCCGTCGCCGTCTTTGCTCCGCCGCATCGTCGATCTCGACACAGCCATCTCCCTCCGTCTCTACACACTAACTCATCCAATCCTCCCTTATTACTTTCTCAAAACCCTAGAAATCTCCGGCGACGGTTTCCTCTTCTTCCCTTTAATCCTCTCACTACTCCTCTACCCTCTCACTCTCTCCACCACCACCGAAACTAGTAACAACATTTTCCTAATCAACCTCCTCCTCGGCGGAATAGTCGACCTAATCGTAATCGGATCCCTCAAACACCTTATTCGGAGGCCCCGACCCGTTTACAACAAAAACATGTTCCTCTCTTTTTCCGTTGACCATTGGTCCTTCCCTAGCGGACATTCATCTAGGGTTTCATTTATAGCCACTGTCTTTTACCTTTACTCCGATTTCGTTAAGGATATATTGATTCAGCTTAAATATGATCTATTTGTGGATTATTTAATGCTTATTGTGATCGGATGGGCCGCAACAACGTCGTTGTCTAGGATACTTCTTGGCCGTCATTTCATGTTCGATGTTGTTGCTGGTGTATTTTTGGGTGTTCTTGAAGGGATGTTTGTATTTTGGATTTTCAATTATGTGACTTTGACCTCATTCTTGAGATGATAAAGTTGTAAGCTTTAATCCTTTTTGGTTTGTGATTGTTAATGTTGGCGTAAAATTTATATGAATGTTAGAAATTTTGTCTCAATTTGTATCTCTCTTAATGCTTTACTGTGTTAAAAGGCAAATTATTGAGTATTAGAATGACACTGTGCAGCGATGGAGTTAGGAATTTATACGAGGGGATTCAAAAAAAGAATAGAATGTCACATTTGGGATTTGACGCTGTGATAGCAATTTTTGAACCTTCTTTGCCACTTCACTGTACTTTTACGCATATCAAGGGGATTCGGGCTTATATGTAACAGAAAAGTTTGTTTTTTTCCCTATTCACACATTGTAGTTTTTCAACAAATTGAATTCCCTTCACTCCACTTAGCTCCTCCGCTGATACTGTGGATTCATATAGCTTAGCCAACCCTACTTGGTGTTGGGAGAAATTTTGTTTTTATCTCTTAATATGCTTGTGGCTTCTCCCAAGTCTCAACTGAATTTGCAGATCCTGTGATGAGAAGGAAAGGTGTAAACATTATGTTTTTCCTACTTATCAAAAAGAAAATATTACTACTATTGTGTTTTTCCTTGAATTCAGAAAATTCTTAGCTCAAACACTTGATCTTATGTAGGCCTCAAAGTTTTCTAACAGGATCAACTGTTCATGTTCATTGAAATTTGACTCCGGGAGTACTGATATCTGACCTTTATGCAGACTGAAATAGTTTTCGACCAGCAATTGACATCAGTAGGAACCTTAAACACAATAACCTTTATATAGACTGAGATCACTTCTGGTTGGCAATTATCTATGGACTTAAGCTCATGATGCTATGCTAGCATGAATGTCTATTCACTTGTATGGATATGTCAAATCTTCTTGATTCTTGGAGATGTTTGGTTATTGCATAATCAACTCAGGGAGAAATTGTGCTATTTATGAACTGAGAACTCTTCTAGAATGCTCACCATTACAAGGTTTATTCCGAAACTGCAAACTGTTTTTGTTTTTAATTGAAACTATTACACCACTCATAAAATATTGCTTCAGAAAATTCTATTAACTCAGATTTAGCTGCATTGAGCTCCATTTCTACATTGTTGGTTGACTGGTGACATTAAGTTAAACACATCTTGGAGTTTGCATCTGTTTTATTTGGTCCAATTTTTGGCCTATGTTATCGACCCTTTCGTTGTGGTTGAAAAGCATTACAGCGCCATCCTTTTCGTTCCCACGTTAATGTTTTGTGCTTTCTCCATTAAACCATGTGATGTAGTCATATATTGTAATGCTTCTTGGTCATCTCTAAAGCAATTCTCGGGCAGTTGTTGATTTCTGGAGTTTCTCCGCGGCTATTTTGAAATTCATGCATCTTTCATCAAGTGTGCAAGTGAAGTGGTTGCTTGGAATTTTTGCTGCTCCCTTTAGATGTTCCGTGTTCTTCCTACTCTAGAGTTGCTAATTACTCTGATAATCCCCAGTTAATTTTTGATTTTTTCTGTTTGGCACATTTGACATGATCTGGAACGTTTATCTTTTACAGTAGTATAGAACATGGAAGACATAAATGAACAGAATTCTTCATTTTCATAGTTGAAGTGACATCTATGGCTGAATCATTATGGGCTCTATGGAGAACAAAAGGATCTCAGTTAACTGTGTCCCTAGTTGTTGAATCAAATGAACACTGAAACTTCCTTTCATCTAATTGTCTTTCACTGAAGTCTCATAATTGTTTTTGTCTGTTTTTTGTGTTCACATGATTCATGATTGATTTTTCTATGTTTTTGCTGTAGCAGTTTTATTATTATCACGTTGCTCTGCAGAACTATATGTGGTCCTGTCATGTTTACTTTGAGTTCAACTTTCATGATAAGCTAGGAACATTACACTCTAGGTCAGTCCAAAGATAGTATTCCAATTGTTGCTTTCCTTAAACTTTTTTACAACATCTCCATGTGGTGGTCCTGCCATATTCAAACTCACACCCCTAGATGTTTATCTGCTATTATTCATGTTGAGTTAGTCAAAAAGTAGTCTGGTTTACTATTGTTACTTGGAACTTCTGTGTCTTCTGATTTGTTCGAAAGATTAGCTGGAAGTTCAGTGGGTGTCATTGGACCAGCTTTGTCATAGCAAGCATCTGCGCTTCTCTCTGGCCGGTAATGCATGGAAGTGAAGAACAACAAACCTCTGGGTCAGCTTGCATGCACGTCGACTATTCTATTGAGTATTTATTACTTCCCACCATCACAGGTACATGGTAACTCTGTCCACCAAGGTCTAGGTAGATTATTTTTATAATTATAGTCTTCTCAAGTTATATGATATTATGAACATAAAATGAATTTTACTTGGTGGCTTGATGCAATTTTAGAAAATGATCTATGATGCCAAAACCCTGCCTCCAGAGTCCTTTGAACATGGAATCTTGGTCTTGGTCAAGGTCAAATTTTGTGGCTTAGTTTGAAAATGACCTAACATTGAGACATGGCTGAACTCTAGGAAGATTGATAATGGTTACTCAATTTCAGACCTCTGCTTTTCTCTGTGTTTGTAATGCAGGGTCTGCATTAAATATACACTGTTAGGGCAACACGTGTCACAAAATTTCTTGGCCTCATTGACCCGGTTAAATTTGGTATCTGTCCATTATATTGCTAGATGTGTATTTATAGCATGTTTGGACAAGCTTCTAAAATCTTCTTATTTTGAGAAGTGTTTTTTTCAAAAGTGCTTTTCAAAAAAGTACTTTTGATGAGAATCGGTTTGTGTTTGGCTAATTAATTTGAAAAGCACTTCTGAGCAGTAATTAATGTTTGGTCAAGTTTTTGAAAACTGCTTCTAAGTGTATTTTTCTCAAAAGTGCTTCTCAGAAAAGTGTTTTTTGGAGAGAAGCTACATTTTTCTGCTTCTGCTTCTCCTCAAAAGTAGGGGTGTTCATGGTTCGATTTGGATCGGTTTTTCTCTAAAAAGAAACCAAACCAAGTAAGTCGGTTCTTAAAATATTGGAACCAAATCAAACCAATTAAGTCGGTTTTTTATCAATTCGATTTTTGTCGGTTCAGTTTTTCGGTTATTTATCAGTTTTTTCTTAAATATAAGACATACACTACCAAACATATATCCTGGCGACTACATTTTCAACGTGACACTATTAAACCAATTGCTATTTGAGAAAAATCTATCATTTACCAAGATACATTGATGATAATTGAATCAAATAGTGATGAATACTTTAAGTACTCAATTAAAAATCGATTATTTTTAATATGAAATAAATTCTTTTACATAGCAAAAGAAAACTACCAATCAAACTAGTATGTAAAGGCAAAGAATTAGATTATTATAATAGCAAAGGATTAGACTAAAAATACAAACGATTAATATGTACCATAAAATTTTAAAAATTTTATATAAAAATATACATATATATAGGTGTAATAATAAATTTAAATAGCTACTTCTATAGTCGGTTTGATTTGGTTTTTTTCGGTTATTATTTTATTAAAACCAAAACCAAACCAAATTTGATCGGTTTTTAAAATTCAAAACCAAAACCAAACCAAACCTAAAATATATCGGGTTTGGTTCGGTTTTTCGGTTTTTTATGAACAATTCTACTCAAAAGCACTTTTTTTCCTTATAAAAGCTTGGTCAAACCGCCTCAATTTTTGGCCAAAAGTTTTTGCCCCAGAAAAGCACTTTTGGCCCAAAAAAAAAAAAGAAAGCTTCGTCAAACAGACTATTAGTCATTTTTCTGAAACAGGAAAAAAGGAGGATGGTACATGCCCCAGAAAGCAAAAGGAAACTGCACTAATATTTGGCCATACGTTGAAATAGATATAGCTGTCTCTATGTGAATTTAATTATGCACGGTATTAGTATTGCATTTGAAGAAACCGAATACCGAACCAAAATGTCTAAATACCGTGCTGAAGGACGAACACACATAAATATAGCTTCTCTGTGAATTTCTTGAATGATATTTTGGCAATGTTTACGGTGGTGGTAATATATTGAATAGGGCAGTAGATATGATGAGGAGCAGGGGGGATTTTAGTGCAGAAATAGTGTGACATGGATGTGTCTGCAGTTGGAAAGAAAAAAAAGACAGATCCACCACTAGAACCTCTGTCACACTTTTTAAAGTTTTTACCCCACAAAGCCAATGACGCACGAGGGGCTTTTACAGTTTTCTTCCCCTCAACCCCACGTTTGGTTTCTCTCTTCTTTTCTTTGTTGTGCGAATCTACTTTTAGTTCCTGTTTTCTTTGTAATGTGAGAGTCTACTTTTGTTTCCTATTGCTTTCCCTGTTTGCTTCCCCTCCTCCCTTTTCATCTCCCAACTGAAAACGCAGTACGGTGAAGGAATCATAGTACGGTGATTAATAATGTAGAGTTTACTATGTGATGATTAGTAATGTTATGCAAACGAGAGAGAAGGCATATTGCAAATTTTACTTCTATTAGATTAAGGAAGGACAATCTCACTCTTTCACATTTAGGGGTTGAGGGGTAGCTTAATTGGTGCATATCGGAAGGGTTTAAACCATAATAATAGCTTAATGTTTTCTTCATCTTTCCCCTCACATAATGTAATTTTTAGAAAGAAAAAATTACAAATTGAGGAAGAAGGTATATGCGAATCTTCCTTCTATTTGATTAAGGCCGGACAATCTCATTCTTTCATATTTGATTCTATGACAAAGTAAGGTATAACTTTTAGCTAGCTTAGATAAATTTCTTTTCAAGAAAACTATTCACATTTGACAAAAGGAGGTTGAGTATTCTCCTCTATTATATGTAATATGTATTAGTATATATTATCCATATGCTCTATAAAAACACTCACATGCAAGTTTTTGAGGAGCTCATTCAACGCTATGAATTTGTCAAACAAAGGATTTAATGATATGCTGACTGACACCCAACTTTTATCTAATTATTGTTGTATATATGTTATAATAACTATACTAAGTTTACATCCATTCAAACAAACTTAAACTAGAATCTGATCCTGAACCTAAAGTTCCCAAACAGAGAAAAGCAAAGCTAATGATATTTCCCCCATTTTAATAGTAATTCTTTTTTACTTGCCTCCCTCCCCTCCCCCCCGGGCGTTTTCTTTCTTTTTCCATTGAAAGGCAGAAAATCTACTTGATGAGATGAAAATTAGTTCTACTTCACCTTCCAATTTATATGATTTCTTTCTTTTGAGACGTCCAAAATATTTAGTATAATTCAAGTTTCACCGCCTTCAAAAATTTAAATTAGTAAGATATCCAAATAACTTGGACGTGATATTTTCTCTGTCAACTTAATTTCAACAATTTGGTACTTTCTTCAGCTATGGTCACTGCCAATCTGCCATAATATATACTATAGGCTAAATTTATATCTTAAACATTGTGTTTGTTCAATCACCGTCATATAAGACAGGGAGCTATATGTACATAAAAAAAATAAGAAGAAAGCACCTTTGCAGAATAAAAGGTATATATGGAATAGTACTAAGTGTAGATATATGGATAGACTGATAAGAAAGCTTCTAAACAACCAAAATTGGGACTGGCATTTGTGCAGGGAAATTTAGGCAATACGTACAAACTCCAGCGGTGATACAGACATTGCTTCTATTATCAATAGATCCCTTTGGCAGGTGAAAACTTTATCACTTTGACACAGAATTTCTGTCATTTACTACAAACGTTATTTTTGAGGTTGAAGTAAACATAAAACAAAGCGAAACAAATTCCAAAAATTAGACCGTGAACATAAGCAGGTGCACACATGTTGACCTAGAAATCATTGTTATAAAAAAAAAAAAATGAAATCCAAAATTGTGTTTAATTTTTAGCACTTTCAAGATGTGGAAATTGACATATCAGTGCCAGGAAACAGTTCCTTTTTCTGTTGTTTGCAAATGTTTTCTTTAAGACTGATGTGTTTACTCTACGTTTCATCAATCTAACTATTAACAGTAATACTAACGTCTATTGTGTAACTCATTCGATATAATTGAGGGTAATGAACATCTTGTTTAAGTTATCATCATCTTTTCTTTTTCCATTTTCTTCCTTTTCTTTTTAGATTCTGGTTGTAAATATATAGAAATATCTTTAATATTGTGAGATGAGGTATATATTATATATATTACTTTCAATGGTTAATTTCGTCATAAATTAATAAAGGACTTGCCACCGACAAAAATTAACCTTTGCAGAAATAATAGTTGAACTTAAGAACTGTTGTCCAGCGAATTTTCTTTTCCTCGGCCTTTTGGCAACAAAACACACGCTACTAAACGACAGAAATTAGCGAGTGATAAATTCTGCAGCTAAACAGAAAAATTCATCGCTAATCCTATTTAGCAACGGATTAACGACAGATTATTAAAAAATTATATTCGCTATGAGTGATTTAGCGACAGATCAACGATGAAGTTCGTATTAATTCCAAATATGTTTGTAGTGACATTGGGTCATATAAAATCATAAATCAATATTCTTCTTAATAATGAGGATTTTGTTTAATCATGTCGTAACAACACACTAGCTAGAAGCCTAGAACCGAAAATTAAGAAAGAGGAAAATAATTTTCACTCTCATATATCTTAAGCTAACTATGATTAACTTCACACTTAAAAAACAGTATTTTACATTTCAAAATTATATATTAGTAGCAACTTGCATCCCCCCCCCCCCCAAACCATATTCCCAACTTGTTGACTTTCGACGAAATATT